GTAAATCTATACTTACGAGACGTAATTATAGTTAATCTAAGTTAAGCAAACTACGCTTCCTCATACACGTGCGCTAACGTGTAAGCCGAAGTAGTTGGCACACAGCGAGCCCATTACAAAAGATGGCAGCGTTGGAATTGAATTTGTTAATACGAAACTAACCAAGACGGCTCTGGCCCCCGTGATCCACGTCACATTTATGCAAACCCATTAAGTCCGCCGACTTGCTGGGTTACTGCTTTAGCAATATATCTCGTATGTCATCCTCGGATAGAGCCTGGGGCATTATTTCCAGGATTCAGTTAAAAGATTCGATTTAGCAAGGCACTGACCAGTCTTCTTAAGACCGACGGTCCCGCTAAAGCTTACGGAACGCACTCAGTGCGCAAAGGGGTTGCTACATTTGCATGTGGAGATAGTACCGGAGGCCCCTCAATTGTCAGTGCGTGTCTTCGCTGTGGGAGGAGCCTCGGCGGTGCTCAAGACCGCTATTTTCGTTACGATGCCGCTGGTGATCAATTTTTGGGACGATTAATGGCAGGCCTTCCCGTAAATGACTCAAAATTTGCTACATTACCGCCTCATTTTTGCTCTGCATCCAGCAAAGTTGTCAAATTCTCGGTTGACAAAATGTTTCCCGTTCTATCCGGTGAATCGAATTTGGCAGGGATCCTGCGGTGATGCCTAGCTTGGCTCATCCACCACGCCGACTATCTATTACGGCAACTGTCGGCCAATCACCCCCTACTTTCAGCACATTTGTTTACAAGATCCGATATCTTAAAACACCTCCAAGATCAATTAGAAGTTGTCGAGTCGTCAAATATGCCGCCAACCGGTATTCCGCCTTATATTGAGCTCTACCAAAAGCTTGATAGACAGCAAGAATCAGTTGACGAACTTACCAGCCGTCTAGAAGAAAGAATGGAACGTGTTCTCGAAAAGAAAGGTGTAGCAGCAGGCAATATCACTAGAGAAATGCTGCGAGAGGAAATCCACTCTTTTCTAAACGAAGTTGGTCTTCAACGGAGTATGGCAAGCCCTACATTGCAGATCCGACCTGCACCTTCTCGTCAGTACCATCTATGGGGTGGAAAATTTCACGTATTACCTAGAGAGTTCAGTTTCCCCAGTATTGACCCGTTGGGGGCATGGATGCTATGGTGGTTCGGGAATTCTAATCTCAACTATCCAGCATATAAAGGAATATCGTCAGATGGCCTGGACACACCACAGAAAAAAGCAATGTCGTCAGCATGGTCAATTATGATGCGCCAAATTATAAATGGGATCGAGGACAGGATCGGTTCACCAATGCCAGAAGTCAACGATGAGAAGCACGCCATTGACCTGTTTAAATCGGATACAAAACGCTGCGCTTAAAATCGAACATGCGCAAGCGTAGATCTGAGCAACTTAAACTTACAACTGTGCTGAGACTCGTCCGACAAACCGGTCAAAACGAAGCCAACGAAGAAGCACAGGAGTAGTGTAAGCTTAGAAACTAATAACAGCATCTTTTACTGCACAAAATAGTTGTTTTTGACCAATCAAATCATGTTTTATATCGTCGCAGAATTCACCTTACGTTTTCGCATGTCAATTGAGAGTACAATAATACCTCTCCTAAATGAACCTTGAGGAACCTGATATTCTGTCGTATATGGTATAATTTAGGTCCGCCGAGTCGGTTCCCAGAGATTACTATGGAGTAAACTTGATATTGCACAAATGCCAAGCGTATATATTATAGTTTAAGATACGAAGTGGCAGTGGAAAAAGTTGTGATGCAATAGCCATCGGCCTTAACCCCAACACCTTGAAATTAAGAGCAAAAATAGGACCAAAGTTAGAGCCTTGGCTTGGTATCATTATCGAGAGTGATGTGGTATTACTGCCATGGTTATATACTACTTAAAAGGCTCAGTACGTGGTATAATTTTCGTAGTGTCTAGTGTTGTCCAACAGGGCGAAAATGCACTACGAAGTTTGTCACTACATAGGTGAGTTTTGTCCTGGATTATAGGACAAAACCCTCATTAACCCCCCAAACCCGAGGCTTCTGAGTTGCGCTCATTACCTGAAGCCCTATACACGATATATTTTATCTTTATGATGGGATTCAGTACTAAAACCAATATATTTGTTATCGTGTCTTTTTCAAAATCGGGACACCACCCTATCCCTAGCTCTCAAGCAAAGAGACTATCGTGTATCTGAATGTAAACGTGTGTCCTCAATACACGATACTGTTATAATCGCGTATGAACTGCGCATAGTCTGCA